TAGCTACCGATTCAGCAGTCCTGTAGTCACTCCCCCGTACTGCAGGGTACTTATACTATGGGTAGCGGGACACATACGAAGTAGGCAATGAGATGACACACGAACTCGCAAGAGAGGACGCATTCGTTCTACTTTCAACTTCCAGGACAGCGTTAGGATGAACACATTTCGATATTTGCATTGAAGAAAAACTCATATAGCCAGGAACGTCAGACCGTCAAAGGAACTTCTAATGCTGGTCGGCAGAGATTTATCTATAACCATATTGCTGTGGTGGTCTCCCACAAAGATTTTAGCAGGGGATAGAGAATTTAATTTTTTTTAATCTGAGGCATCTGGCAAAGTTGAGGATATCGCAATGATCAGACTACTCCAGATCAACCCCTCATACGATAGCATAACAACTATAAGAAATACTAGGCTTAGTGATCTGACGCTTTAATTCCGCGAGTATATCCAGACTTTTTTTTAACTTTCCCATTCACCGCGTCTTTACAGTATATTTTATAGCACTTTAACTGTCTAAACAGACCTAACCAAAACCACCACAGAGGAGGTTTATCCGTGTAATAGATAGTGATTGGGGGTTGGGAGCTTGATCTAGCACTTATCTGCTGCAAATCAATTATTCGAACCCAGATTGGTTGTTACCATATACATATGATCATGTTTTTTTAGAGAGTTGGCATCTGTTAAATAATTTGATTCAAATTTTTTAAAGTTAAATAAATTACTAAAAGATGGGAATCAATCGAAATGGGTTTTGGAAGGACTGATTTCTTAACTACATTTAGGAGGGTTGCCACCTGTTTAAAAAATTAAATTCCATTTAAATTAAGGAAATTACGTTATTGAAATATGTTTCACCATTTACATACATACATATATGGAAGTCGGACGAACGAGGTTTAAGATCTTAGCTTGTACATATGAGGGATTTGTTTCGATTACATGCATTCATTTTATATTACTTGACTGTTAAATTAACTTTACAGTTTCAGGAATTTTTTTATTCTTCACTTATTTTTTGCTAAATATGTACCTAAACAATTTTCTTTCGTCTAATACCCATGTTGTAATACACATGCATCTCAGTATACCTTATTTAAGTTGAATTTAATTTGTAAAGCAGGTGGCAACCCTTCTACGTGTAGTATATAAGTAACGCAATTTCAAAACGTTTTCGATTGATACCGATATTGTACCATCTATTTCATTTATCTTATTAAATAATCTTAACCAAATTTTTTAATAGGTGGCAACCCTCTTCCAAAAAATATTTCTATTTTTGCTCACATTCTACATCGAAGGCGCGCCATAGAAATCTAACTAGGCCTAATGACGCCCAATCCTTTCATCTTGGATATAAACTGAATGATGTGGGATGGTCAACCTCAAAATATCTTCAAGACCCTTTTCTCCTTTCTCTACAAGGTAATGAAGTTGTACTACCTCTTAAGATCATTTTATTTTCTAAATTCTCTTCAGGTGTCCTCGGAATCGTAGCCACCATTTTTCTATTGGGGACTGAGCCTGTGAAAGCGACTTTATATATTTATCCCTTTAATTTCGTTTGACCTTTACTCAAAGGTTATTATAGGAACGTTGCCAACTCGACAGTGCCCCCGAAAGGCCTCTGCACAGGACAGCCTGTTTCAGTTTACCTTAAATAAAAAAGTTTTAACGGCGTTAAAAAGTTAAAGGTTATGCCGCTATATCGAGGTTTCGTACAAACATTTTTAAAACAAGTATGAACATGTATGTAAATAGATCTCGGAAATGTTTTAACCTATAGGGGTATTCTCTAGGTTTGCGAAACCCGTGCAGGTGCTCGGATTGCGCAGTGAATCCGGTTTTCCTATGGGAAACTTTGTAAACCGTGCAATCCGTACAACGTGTAAGGATTTTGGAATACCTAGAGAATATCCGCAATGTACTATTTCTATGGTATGTTTCCTTGGAAGGTTATTTAATGGCTTCATCCCTTTCTTATTCATTGTAGGTGTGTATGAAATTTTCATAATCTTAGTTATTGTAATTTTGCCTCACCTGATTTGCCGACGGATAATTGTAACCAAATTGCGCATAGGCTGCCATCGCTTACATCCAGCTATGCCCAGCTAAGCGGTTGCTGTGGTTTTCGCTACAGCCGCGTTGTGTCTACTTTCCTTACTGAATAGGTAATACACTGTTAACCAAAAGAGTTCGGCGACAGTTATTGGGGACTTTTTTCGGCTGTTATCAACAGCAGCGGCAGTGACCTGCGGTAACAGTGAGTGCGAATATTTAGAGGAAAGAAGTGTAAGTGGCCACAGGACATCGACGGCGAACGAGCGCACATAAGCGTAGGCGCACTCACGCACACACACACACGCACACGCACAACCGCGGTCAAACGAATGAGTAAACCAAGTGTACCAAGCGACAGGATGCGCTGCGGCCGAGCTGTACTCCCTTTTTTGGGGGGATGCTGCGGCTGGCTGGCTGTGCAAACGCACACACACCCACACACAGCGGCCACCCACACACTTGCCGGACGTGCCGCGTTGACGTCAGCGTCGCTGCCTTACCGAGTGAAAGCACTTTTTTGTTGTGCGGCGCAGAATTTTGCGTTGTTATTGTTATTACTGCTTCTTTTTTTGTTTGTGTGTGTTTTGGGTGGTGCCTTATGTGGCGATTCTCGTTCGTTGTTGTTGTTGGTGTGCCTTGGAAATTTGGTAAAACAAATTGTCAAGCATTTGTGTTAATGTCAGCGGGAAATGTTCTGAGCTCCAACCACTCTTTGGCAATTTTTGCGTGGAGATTTTTTCAATGGCTTTTCTTAAATGTCTGTGCGGTTTTTTGTTGGCTCACTTATTTGTGTTTGTTCTCTTTGACTTGTTTCCTGTGTTTCCGCTGTAGTCGGCTTTTTTCATAATTTCGTTTAACATATTTTTTTTTTTTTTACTTTTCTCTTGAGTCACAAGCGGGTTTGCGGGTG